GGGCAACCGGGACAGAATCCGGAGCCCCGACCGGGACTAGAACCCGGTGTGCCGGTGCCACAAGGCGGAGGATTAGCCAAGTGAGCCGCAGCACCGAGCCTAACATTTTTATCCATGGTTGGTTAAACATAGGGATGCAGAACCCACAGGTACATGACTGATTGAGCTTTGGAAGATGCTACCTCAACTTTGTTAAAAAGTGATTATCATTAACATCTCTATTGTCACTGTGATCGAAGAGCCCCAGAAATTTGCTCTGCCTTATTCAAGAAAGAAAGGGTGTGGGGGGGCAGTATTTGTGCAGCTGCTTGGGAGATTCTGATTGTCAAATGCTGCTTGAGACACCCACTGTCCCATACTGGAGTGCCTGGTTTGGAGTCCCAGTTCTCCTGATTTCAGCTTCCTGCCAATATGCATCCTGGGAAACAGCAGGTGATGGCTCTAGTATTTGGGTCTCCGTCACTCACATAGGAAACAGAGATTGAGTTCCAGGCTCCTGGCTTCATTCTGACCCAGATGTTATGGGCATTTGGGGAACTTGTATTTCTTTCACTCTACCCAATGTAAAAAAATGTATGTGCCGTGGGCCAGCATTGTGGCACAACAAGTAAAGCCACCATCTGCAATGCCAATATCCAATATGGGCTGGTAATGTGTCCCAGCTGCGCCACTTTCCATCCAGCTCCCTGCTAATGGCCTGGGAAAGACAGCAGAAGATGGCCTAAGTGTTTGGGCCCCTGCCACCCACATGGGAGACCCAGATGAAGCTCCTGGCTCCTGGCTTTGGACTGGCCCAGCCCTGGCCACTGCAGCCATCTGGGGAGTAAACCAGTGGATGGAAGATTTCTCTCTCTCTCTCTTCTCTCCTCTCTCCTCTCTGTGTCTGTCTCTCTTTCTGTGTGTGTAACTCTGACTTCCAAATAAACAAGTAAATGTGTAAAAAAATTTTGTGTTCAAAAATCTCTTACTGAGGCTAATGTTGTAGCACAGCGGGTGAAGCTGCCACCTGCAATTTCAGCGTCCCGTATTAGAGTACAGTTTAAGTCCCAGATGCTCTGCTTTCCATCCAGCCCCCCTGCTAATGAGCCTGGGAAAGCAGCAGAGGATGGCCCAAGTATTTGATCCCTTTCCACCCATGAGAGACACCTAGATTAAGTTTCAAGATTCTGGCTTTGGCCCAGACCAGCCCCAGCTGTTGTGGCCATTTGGGTAGTGCACCAGTGGATGGATGACGGAGAAAGAGAGAGAACTTCCAACTGCTGCTTCAGTCCCCAAATGACTTCAATGGCTTCAGATGGGCCAGATGGAAGCCAGGAGCCAGGAGCCTCACAAGGTCTCCCATGTAGTTGCAGGGGCCCAAGCACTTGGTCCATATCCCACTGCTTTCCCAGGCCATTAGCAGGGAGCTGGATCAGAAATGGAACATGAACCAGCACCCATATGGATTGCTAGCCCTTCAGGCAATAGCTTTAACTGTTACACCAGAACACTGGTTCTCTTTTAATTAAAAAAAAAAAAAAGTCTCTTATTGATCACAAAGTCAAACTTCTCAAAAGTAAAAAAATATATATTTAATTGTATGAAATTATTAAAATTCCTCTGATCAGAATCTAAGCTGTGTTGGACAGCACTCATAGTTTATTTTATAACTTCCTGACCTTTCTTTCCCGCTATGGGTGCCTGTCTCCGTGGTAATTAGCTACACTTGTAGCTTGAGCACACCTTCCTATAGCTACATTCCCTTGTCTCTCGCTTTCTGCTTCAGGAGCTCTCCTACCACCTCTGTATGTGTGTTCTTTCAGGAAAAAACTCCTTTGGGACAATCCTTGACCAACGAAGACAACCAATGCAACAATACACTCCATTGTGCCTTTCTGTCCTGTGCTTCCCTCTCCCCCACTAACTCTTTTGTTCCCTAGAATCTCTTCTCAAAACTTTTGTTTTTTTTTTTTTTTTTGTTCTGAGAAACAATATTAAAATAAAAGAATACATGGGCATAGAAGGAGTTTATAATATCATCAGCATTAACTCTATTTTAACTGTCAAAATATCACAGTGATCTATCTAGTATCAGAAATTGTTAAAGATATATCCATTAATTCAGTTGGACCCTCTTTCCATAACATTATAAGCAAAGAAACATAATTTGTTAACCATTCATTGGAGTCATTCCTTTTCTCAATTTCTTGCTTTGGCAGAAATTCAAGACAAAAATTTTGAATCAAGGAAGCTTAGTAATATTTCAGATTCTCCTTGTTTGGTGCCCCAGAAGTTTTACAAAATAAGGCAATGCACCATATTAAAAGCCAATGTTGAGGAGCAAATGTTTGATGTAGTGGTTAAGACATCCCACGGGAGGTCTGCATCCTGGCTCCACTCCTGATTCCAGCTTCCCGTTCATGCACATCCCGGGAGGCAACAGGTAATGCCTCAGGTAGTTGGGTCCCTGCCACCCAAGTGGCAGACCTGAATTGAGATCCCAGCTCCTGGCTTCTGCCAGTCAGATTTATGAGTGGTACGCCCTTTTTCTGTAAAATGGACGAAGGGTGAATAGTGACAAGCAAGGTGGAAGTGAAGTGATAATATTTCACAGGAAATCACTTATTTTATTGTAGTAAACATAAAAGTAACCATTTTAAAATTTACCAGTGTTCAGTGGTATTAAATACATTCACATTGTTTTGCACCCATCATCATCATCCATCTCCAACACTTTTCCATCTTCTCCAGCTGAACTGTATCCATTAAACGCTAACTCCTCATTCACTCTTCCCTCAGGTCTTGGCAATCACCATTCTATTTGCTGCCTCTATGAATTTTACTATTTTATCTTGTGATCCCTGTAAATAGAATTATATAATACCTGTCATTTTGTATCTACTTTCCATTCAGCATGAATTCAAGTTTCATCCAAGCAATAATAGCATGTCAGAATTTTCCTTTTTAAGTTTTTAAATGTATTTGAAAGGCCACTCACATGGGTGGCAGGGACCCAGTTACCTGAGCCATCACCTACTGCCTCCCAGAGTGTACATTAGGAATCAGGAGCAGAGCCAGGATTTGAACTCAGGAACTTTGATATGGGATGCAGGGGTCCCAAGTGGCATCTTTACCATTGTGCCAGATGCCTGCCACTTTTTCCTTAAGGCTAGTAACATTCCATTGCCTGTACACACATCTGTTTATCAACTCATTCACTAGCGGACACTTGGGTTGCTTCCACCTTTTGGCTGTTATGAACAATGCGGCTATGAATACAGCTGTACAAATGTCTATTCAAGATTCTGTTTTAATTCCTTTGGGTATTTAACCTGGAGTAAAATAGCTAGATCACATGATTAGTCAACATTTAATTTTTTCAAGGAATCTGGGGAAATCACTTTTAGTGAGATGAAGATCTGGAAATTCATTCATTAAAGTTTCTATGCCCATGTATGCATCCCTTGTAGTCTTACATGCCCCAGATGGAAAATTTCTGTTCTAATGAGTCACACCTCAGATTCAAAGGAAGTAATCTAGCAGGGAAAGCGTGAGTTTGGATTCAGACAGTAGTGGTTGGAATCCATTATTTATGTAGTCTAGGACATGAGGGCTGGTCACTTCCTTCTCTAAAGTTTACTTTTCCATAACATTGAGGCTAACAATACCTTTCCCACAGAACCACTGCTGACACTTAAAGAGGACGGATAAAGAACTTACCATAGACCTTTACAAGCCATTGAAAGTGCACTTTTTGGGGTCTTGGTTCACAAGACAGAACAGCCCCTGCCCTAGAGGAGCCTGGCTACCTGGTAACAAACTGGTCTTCTTAGTAGGGGATGGGATTACTGATTTGTAACTTATTGTTTAAAAATCGATATGGTAGGGTCAGCATTGTGGTACAGTGTGTTAAGCTGCTGTTTGAAATTCTAGCCTCCCATAATAAAGTGCCAGTTTCCAAGTCCCAGTTTCTCCGCTTCTGATTCAGCTCCCTCCAATGAGCCGGGGAAAGCAGTAGATGACATAAGTGCTTGGGCCACTGCCATCCACGTGGGAGGCCAAGATGGAGTCATCAACTCCATCTTTGGCCTGGCCGACATTAGGTTGTTGTAGCCAATTGGGGAGTGTAACAGCAGATGAAAGATCTCTGTCTATCTATACCTCTGTCACTCTTACAACTACACAAAGTTGTAAAAGCTGATATGCTAGTTCTGTTCATTTTGACATTGCAGAAAAGATGCCACTGGTCTCCCTTTGCCATGATAGAGAACTTCAATAGACAGTGGTGCAGGGCTAGGATGGATGTCTTAGGGGAGGGGCACTTTATCCTCCTGACAAACGTCAGGGAGGACTCCCTAGAAGAGGTGGCTCAAAATGGGTCGTGAAGGAAGAGTAGAAAGAAAACATTTTACACTAAGGAAACAAGATGAATGGACACCAAGCAAAAGACATCTTCTCAGGGAAACTCAAAGCAATTTGATGTCACCACAATATAAAATAGACATTAATGGGAACAAATGAGGTAGAAGAAACAAGCATCTTTTTTTTCCTTCAAGATTTTATTTATTTGAAAGTAGTAGCTAGATAAAGAGACAGAGATCTTCCATCCATTGGTTCACTTCTCAAACAGCACCAACTACCAGGGCTGGGCCATGCTGAAGCCAGGAGCCAGGAGCTTCCTCCAAGTCTCCCATGTGCATACAGGGACCTAAGCACTTGGGTCATCTTCCCATTGCTTTCCAGGCATGTTATCAGGGAGCTGGATTGCAAGTCTCGAACTGGGGCCCATATGGGATGCTGGCACCACAGGCAGTGGCTTAACCTGCTATACCATAGCCCTGGTCCCAATAAATTTGTATTTTTTAAAAATCAAAATAAAAAGTAAGAGATGAGCCCTGGAGCTCACTTGAATGTGGGAGGTGGAGGCCCAGGAGGAATCCCACATTAGGACCACATTTAGGCTTCTCTTGAAGTGATCTCAATTCCTCCCCCCAATAATAAAAAGGCCATTACAGTACAGATTCTCTTGAAGTTTTATTAAAGTTTAATACTTTAATCTTTTGTGTTGTTGTTAAACCCAGTACAAAAATACAGTGGATGACTTGACAAAAATGGCCCCACCCAGGGCTTGAAGGTTTACATTTCTCCAACAGTAACAAGGGAAAGCATGCTTCCAGCTGGGGCTGACTCCAAGCACACAGCCATTCCTGCACGCACATGCGTGCAATAGGGCAGCCCAAGCAGAAGGGGAAGTGGGTTGCAGGAATTCAGGAAGAAGCCCAAGATTATTCCCAGGAGAAAGACAGGAAAAAAAAAAAAAAAAAAAAACCAGGCTGGTCTTCTTAATAGGGGACAGAATTACCGATTTGCATTTAGTTTTTATTGTTTTTTATATAAAAATTGATAAGCAATTTCTGCAATTTTAACACTGTAGAAAAGATGTTACTGGTCTCCATCAAGGTTGAGTGAAGTGGGAGGAAATGGTAAAGGACTCAACTACTTAAATGTGAGGAGTAAACTTCCAAGTGGCTCAAGTTGTGTGTCACAAGGTTTCATTCTTTACATTTGGCGACAAATCAACATTTGGGTGAGATGAAGCAGAAGGAAGTCTGCCGCAGTCAGCTTCATCCACAGCCCTGGAGACCAGCTTCAGGCAGCAGAACCCGTCTAGTGTGAGCGCGTTCTTTCCAGTGGCGGAGCAAGGTTTCCTGGTCGCTTTAATTGTTCTGGGGGAGTCCTCAGTACTCCCCTCCCTGCTGCTTTCCTTCCGAAACATTGACTTCAATGAAAGAAGGGATATGCATGTGCGTTACAACTCATCTTCAAGACGTTTCTCTCTGAAGGCATCGCCGGTCAGCCTTTCCTGAGCTTCCTTCATCCCCTGAACAACTGTGAAACAAAGGGCGGGGGAAAGCAGGTCTTTAGTGCTCGACATCTGACAACTGAGGTGGATCTTTAAATGTTTTAGGAGAGGACAAGATCTGGACTCAAGATCTAGTTCTGCACGTTAACCCCGGCAAGTCATTTCTCTCTCTGAACCTGTTTTCCCATTTATAAAATGAGATGTAACTTATTTCACACAGGATTATAATAGAAACTGACAGAGAGAAAATAAAATGAAAGTGCTTGAGAAACTAAGGAGTCCTGCAAGGTTAGTAGTGACTTGGGCTTACCCTCTAGGGTTAGAGACACTCTATCACAGACTATATTTATTTATTGGATTTACCTAAGAGGCAAAGAGAGAGTACTCCTGTCTGCGGGCTCATTCCCCAAACGGACACAACAGCTGAGACTGGGACAGGTCAAAGCTGGGAGCCGAGAACCCAACAGTTTGAGCCATTATCTGCAATCTCCTAGAATACATTAACAGGAAGCTGCAATTGGAAGTGGAGACAGGACTCAAACTTGGGCCCTTCAACATGGGGTGCAGGGCCTGCGCTGCTGGCATAGCGGGTTAAGCCTCCCTCTGTGAAGCAACATCCCATATGGGTACCAGTTTGAGACCTGGCTTCCGATCCAGCTCTCTCCTATGTCCTGGGAAAGCAGTAGAAGATGGCCCAACTCCTTGGGCCCCTGCACCCATGTGGGAGACCCAGAAGAAGCTCCTGGCTCCTGGCTTCGGATTGGCGCAACTCCGCCCATTGCAGCCAATTGGGCGCGTTGATCCGAAGCCAGGAGCCAGGTGCTTCTCCTGGTCTCCCATGGGGTGCAGGGCCCAAGCACTTGGGCCATCCTCCACTGCACTTCCGGGCCACAGCAGAGAGCTGGCCTGGAAGAGGAGCAACCGGGACAGAATCCGGCATCCCGACTGGGACTAGAACCTGGTGTGCAGGCGCCGCAAGGCGGAGGATTAGCCTATTGAGCCGCAGCGCCGGCCTGGAGCCGGGAGCTTCTTCTGAGTTCCCCACATGGGTGCAGGGGCTTAAGGACTTGGGTCACCTTTCACTGCTTTCCTAGGCCACAGCAGAGAGCTAGATCAGTAGTAGAGCAGTTGGGACTTGAACCGGCACTCAACTGAGATGCTGGCACTGCCAGAGGTAGCTTTTACCGGCTATGCCACAGTGCTGGCTTCCCAGGTGGTGTTTTAACTGCTATGCCGAATGCCTGCCTCCTCTGTCACAGGCTGTAGATGTTCACTTGACACTAGGGGAAGATCGAACACCATCCTACCATTCCCATTATGTCATTTGCATGAATGTTGCTTTTATTTCATTTTCTGTGGTTACATGTAATGTTGCATGTGTGTGCACATATATGTGTATGTGCCAGAAGAGGGACTGGTCTCCTCTAAAGGAGACAGTCACATTTAGTATCAACTATAAAAGGATAGGGCAGGTATTTGGCCTAGCTGTTCAGCTGCAGGTGGAGATACCTGCATTCCACATCAGAGTACCTGGGTTTGAGTCCTGGCCCCTGCTCTCAACTCCAGCCTCCTGCTAGTACAGGCTTTGGGAGGCAGTAGATGATGGCTCAAGTAGTTGAGTCCCTGCACCCAAGTGCAGGACCTAAGCCAGTTCCTGGTTTAGGCTAGGCCCAGTCCTGGACATTACAGGCTTTTGATGAATGAACTGGTGTGTGGGAACTCTCTCTCTGCCTCTCTAAATAAATAGACACACAAATAAATAAATGTTCATGGAATTAAAAAGCTATTTATTTTGGTGCAAAAGCTTTGAAACCCTGTATAGTTTATTCATAACACACATTTTCATGAACTTTAAGACCCCTTTATGCATGGATCTCAAAATTTATTTGCACCAAAATAAACGTGCCTTTTAAATCCATTTTTCACAAACTTTTTGAAGTACCCTTGTACATGGAGGAAGCTCAGTTCTCAGGCAAACAAGAGAAATCTGGTTGGAGGGCCTTAGACAGACTGAAGATAAACCTGTCTTATGGCATCCCTCTTATGGATTAAGACTCAAGAAGAGCAGCAATTTGGTAAAGACTCTATATTGGTGGTTCCACAATAGCATCCTTATATAATGCAGGCCAGGAGCTAGGTTGAGCCAGTGTCTGTAAATCTCAAAAAGCAAATACTCATAAAAGCCAGATGATACAGTTTGTTATTCCCCTTTTGCTTTGCTTATACTGTTAGTAAAGCCAGATCTGAAAGTTCCGGTTTCATGTCAGCTGAGCCACAAGGAATTCAGGGAACAATCTTGGGTTCACATCTGGACTACACTAATGTGGAGATGGCAGTGGTAACTTGGATGAAATTCCAAAGGGAGGGTGAATCTCAAGGTACAAGAGTCAGGGACCTGACACCACTGGCCTTCTCCAGGTAAAAAAGTTCCCTCTCTGGTACCAATCTCCCTGGATCTGCACTTGGCTAGGGAAGATGACATCTCCTTATGCAAGGGAAGAGGTGATGATGTCTCAGATCTCTACATTCTCCCTCTTCTGGGAATAAGAGTGCCAAGGACTCAAAACATAAAGTGACCAACAACCCAGCAATGTGAAAATATGGGACACCAGCAACTGGACTAACAACTCCTTTTTACAGATTAGGGGGAAAAGGAAAACAGCAACAACACACAGTATGAATTCCAACCCTGCCTCTAGAATGACTGCTCAAGGAGTAGGAAACAAAAAAACATGACTTTGCAATTTCAACTTTCCCTTGTCTGTTTGTGCTGATGCTGTTCTCTGTCTGGAATATGTTTTTTTTTCATTCCTTTGCCAACTAGGTCCAATTCTCCAGGGCTCAGGCCACTCATCATTTCCTCTGGCAGGTCTTATAGACTCTCCATGATGGGCTATACCCCTCCCTCCCTCAGCTTGAAATGTCCTTCTCATATCTGTCCAGAAACAAAGTCTTATACTTCTGGGTCCAGTTAGAGTTTAACATCTAAGTGTAAAACTTCTTAGAATTACCCAGCTAACAAGTCGTACCTCCTTCCTATGAATTCCTACAGGAAGAACAGTGTTAGTGAAGTGGAAAAAAACTAAGTTCTGAATCCAAATCCAGGCTCTGCAGCTTATTATCAGTAAGACTACGGGCAAGTGAGGTATTTCTGTGAGGCTCAGATCTTCACGGTTTCCTGTGGGTCATTTGGCTCTTCCACTGGATTCCAAGTAGCTAGGGAAGGACCTCAGTCTAAAGTTCTTTTCCTATATCCTAGAGTGGATCAAGGGAAAACCTAGTCTCACACAGGAGATGGTAGCTAACATGCTGAAGTGAGTTTCCCCCCAGACCTGTGCATGCTTCATCCTAGTTAAATCTAGCAGCAATCCTCCCTCCTTTTCCTCTGCATAGCTGTACCTTGCTCAGCACTGACGTAGAAATACTTGTAGCTTGGGTTTCCACTTTCATTGATGATTTCAGGACGCACCTTGCCACTGGGGTCTATTGGAGATAAAACGGCACAGAGGTTGAGTAATCACAACAGTTACTTCAAGCACTACACGGTATACTAGGCTCTGTGGGAAATTACACCTGTCCGTCTTTGCAGCCTACTATCTCACCATCCCAACCCTGCCTTTCAGGCTGTAATCACAATGATTCCTTGCAATTCCCTGAACACAGCATACACTTCTCACCCCTGGAGTCTGGTACTCGCTGTTGCCTCTTCCTGGCACGTTCCTTTACTGCTTGCCGGAGGCAGGATCATACATTTTTATTTGTATCTTCTACATAATCTAGCAGAATTTTAAGTAAAGATTAGGTGGTCATTAATAACTCATAAAATTGTCTGTGGGAAGACATTTGTCTGGTTATACTATTCCATTGCCTCAGCTGCAGAGTAGGGTCAAGAGCGGGAATAGTGGCTTATCTCTGCCTAGCAAGGGCTGATGCTCAAATGATGGCTGAATGAATAAATGGATGGCCCGCCTCCTGTCCCTGAGTTAATGGGGAAGATTTTCCTCCAAACTTGCGGTTCTGGCACTCCAGACTCCCCAGCTCTCTTGAAACTGGCTGGTTTTGTTTTGGGCCATCCCAGTAGTTTAACTACATGGAGTCGGTCCCTTCAGGCATTTCTTCTCCATCCTACGATGGATCCCCACATGAAGATCTTGTGCCTTACCCAGGAAAAGGATTCTTGGAATATAACCCCCATCGGGGCTGAAATCTTCATCTTTTGGTTCCTCTTCATCCTATTAAGATTAAATGCGAACCTTGGGTCAGATCCTGTCCTCTCTCCTTGAAAGCTTCTGGTGGCTTCCTTTGTCACTCACAGGAGAACCTGAAGTCGCTGCGATACATAATCTGCCGCCTGGGCGCTTCCCTAACTCCACAGGCTACCTGTTTTCAGTCTTCTTTGTTCGGCTTGACATTGCTGTCATTCAACAAGGCAAGCATGCTCCTAACTTGGGCTTCAGGGTTTGCTCTCACCCTCCGCCTGGACACACTTCCCCCATCCTCCATATGGCTTACTCCCCTTTCTGCTTCAGATCTTTGTTCACACATTACCTTCTTTCCTAACTATTTAAAATTTTAAGCCACCCACCACCCTTTAATTCTAGCCATAGCATTTATCACCAACAGTCATACTTTATTTATTTACCTGTCTCTCTACACTACAACGTTATTTCAGTGAGGGAATTGTATCTGCTTTGTTGAGTGCTGAAGTCCCAGTACCTACAGTACTAACTTGCAAACAGTATTTCTTGAATGCAAGAATGAATGAGACTGGCATTTTAGCTGTAACTGTGGTATTCTAGTCCTCCTGGGAGACACAAATATAATCAGTTTTTCTTTTTAAAAAATCTCTGAAGTTGGAGAATGCTCACTGAAAACGGTATTTCTGTCTCCTGAGTGGGGATCCTAATTAATCATAGACAGTAATTAGGAGTTCACGTGCATGGGAAATCAACAGTAATTTTATAACGTATGGTATGGTTCTCATTTCAGGGGTTAAGTGGGGTCATTTCTTCAGACTGAAATATAACTTTGCCTTGGTGAGGTGTATCAGCATTCAGGCCATCCATAAGCTGAAAAGCAATCCCTCAGCTTCCTCAATATTAATTTTTTTTTTTTTTTGACAGGCAGAGTGGACAGTGAGAGAGAGAGACAGAGAGAAAGGTCTTCCTTTGCCGTTGGTTCACCCTCCAATGGCCGCCGCGGCCGGCGCGCTGCGGCCGGCACACCACGCTGATCCGATGGCAGGAGCCAGATACTTATCCTGGTCTCCCATGGGGTGCAGGGCCCAAGGACTTGGGCCATCCTCCACTGCACTCCCTGGCCACAGCAGAGAGCTGGCCTGGAAGAGGGGCAACCGGGACAGAATCCGGCGCCCCGACCGGGACTAGAACCCGGGGTGCCGGCGCCGCAAGGTGGAGGATTAGCCTAGTGAGCCGCGGCGCCGGCCCTCCTCAATATTAATTGTTAGTACGTTCATAAGATTCTCAGTCCCATGTTTAAGCAAACATCATCTTACACAAACTTTTGCCAGAACTATCATCATAAAGCATCTGAGTTTTCCTTACTTAAAGAGAATGACCTCAAAGGAAGCCCATCTAGATCACTTGTTAGACTCTATGATTTTGACCAATTACATTATCTCCCTCAGGCCTAAGATGATATCCTTTAAAAACAGGAATAGTACCAATGGCTAAAAATCCCTTCTAAGATCTGATATTCTATAACTTGGGATTCCAAACCCTAAAGTCTACATGAAGTACAAAAAGTATACTGCACAAGGAAACAAGAAGGTTGCATATATAAACCCAACACAAAGTAGCTATTCAAATCAATCACACTGTGCAGGGAGTTGTGGTCTGCATATATGACTATACCTCTCGTTCAACTAAAAAGATGTAAAACATGTCAGAATCATAAACTAAGGCTGAAAAGGACCTTAAAACTTAAATCATTCAATGCCTTCTTTCCTACCTCCTTCCCAAAGCAGATTCTGGATGGCTTTCTAACACATGTGATACAAGCCTTACATCAAAGGTCAAGAGGAAAACACATACATTTAGAAAGAGCCAGCTATGCTGAATAAGATTTTATACTAGCAATGATTCTAACTCTAAAACAGCAAATTCTTAAAAATCATAGCAGAAAGGAGAAACTCTCAGTCTTACCTCAAGATTTACCATAACAAAATTGTGAGAAAGTTCTGAAATTTCTGTAGATTCTGCAAATTTGGGCTTTAAAGCTAGGAGGAAAAATAAAAAAGGATTTTGGAACAGAAAACATCACTGTTATACGGTTATACCCAACCCTAGTAAGTATTATAAGCATCACTATTTCTTTTAGGCACTTGCTAAATTGACTCACATAACTGAAACTTTTTTCCCCTACTCTTATAAAACCAGAATCAGGACACCTGGATTTTGGTCCTAGTTCTATCACTTATTTGTGTATCTACAAGACCCTGTGTGACTACCCTTCTCTGAAATTTTTACCTCATTTCTAAAATAAGGTTAATGGCATACAAATGGGAAAAAAAAGTGTTAGCATTTTTTTTTACTAATTTCCAGTAATAGAATAACATTCTGCCATATACATATTATAAATTAACTATTTTTTAAAGGTTTTTTTTTCTTTTCTTTTTTTTTTTTTTTTTTGACAGGCAGAGTGGACAATGAGAGAGAGAGACAGAGAGAAAGGTCTTCCTTTGCTGTTGGTTCACCCTCCAATGGCTGCTGCGGCCAGCACACCACGCTGATCCGAAGCCAGGAGCCAGGTGCTTATCCTGGTCTCCCATGGGGTGTAGGGCCCAAGCACTTGGGCCATCCTCCACTGCACTCCCTGGCCACAGCAGAGAGCTGGCCTGGAAGAGGGGCAACCGGGACAGAATCTGGCACCCCGACCAGGACTAGAACCTGGTGGCTGGTGCCGCAGGCGGAGGATTAGCCTACTGAGCCGCAGCGCCGACCATTATACATTAATTATGTACACTAATTACACTTCTTTTCTAACTCGGATTTTATCAAGTGTAGCAGAAAAAGCCTGACTGGGGAAGAGACGGGTTGGTATGGAAGAGAGACTATATGCCAGAGACAGATAACCTGGGGTTCTTATTTGCTTCCCATCTCCTCCAGGAAGATTTCCCTAATCAGTTCTCAAGCCTTTTGCTGAACAGTTTTCAGCATCCTCTAATAAATTCATTGTTCATATAAAATATTTTATCACTTAATCCCATATTTTATATAACTATCTTAATCCACTCTCCCTAAAGCCTCCCAAAAAATAATTGCAGATTTCATTAAGGTAAAGATTTTCTTATAAGAGAGTACTTCCAAAAGTTCAGGGAAAATAAGATTAGGGTACTGACATTTGGCTTAGTTATTAAGATGCCAGTTGCGATGTGACATCCCATATGGAGTGCCTGGGTTGGATTCTCTGCTGCATTCCTGATTCCAGCTTCCTACCAATGCTCACTCTGGGAAGCAGCAGGAGTTGGCTCATGTAGTTGGGTCCCTGTCTCCCAAGTGGGAAACCTAGTTTGAGTTCCTGGCTTCTGATTTTAGCCTGGCCCAGCCCTGGCCACTGCAGGCATCTGGGAAGTAGGCCATAAGATGATTAAATGGGAACTCCAGTTGCGTGTCTCTCTCTCGCCCTCTCAAAGATAGATAGATAGATAGATAGATAGATAGATAGATAGATAGATAGATAGATATAGATAGATACATACATACATACATACATACATACATACAGTTAGTTTAGGGACAGGTATTTAGCCTGACAGAGAGGATTCTACATTACAAATCAGAATGCCTGGGTTTGCAAATGTCCTAAACAGCACTCTGGCCTCAGAATCAGCCCTTAAGACATTCAGATCTGGCTAAAAAGCCCATGAGAGTATCTCAGGCATAGAAAGCCAAGACACTCTGGCAAAAAATGACCTAAATGAAAAGATCTCTGTGAGATCCCAGTGGAAAGAAGAGGCCATTAAAGGAGGTACCTTTCTCTGAAGGGAGGAGAGAACTTCCACTTTGATTATGGCCTTGTCTAAATAAGATCAGTTAGTGAACTCAAGAGGCTTCCATAGCTTTGGCAGCTCATGACAAGAGCCTCGGGTGATTACTGACATCATAAATAAGAGTGTCAATTGTTAAATCAACAACGGGAGTCACTGTACCCTTACTCCCATGTAGGATCTTTGTCCTTAATGTGTTGTACTATGTGAATTAATGGTAAAACTAGTCTTCAAACAGTACTTTATACTTTGTGTGTCTGTGTGGGAGCAAACTGTTGAAATCTTTACTTAGTATATACTAAGTTGATCTTCTGTATATAAAGATAAATAAAAATGAATCTTAATGAAGAATGGGATGGGAGAGGGAGAAGGAGATGGGAAAGTTTGCAGGTGGGAGGGTGGTTATGGGGGGGGCTGCTATAATCCAAAGTTATACTTTTGAAATTTATATTTATTAAATAAAAGTTTTCTAAAGAAAAAAAAAAAAAAAACAGAATGCCTGGTTTTGACTCCTAGTTCCAGCTCCTGATTCCAGTTCTATCAATATGCACCACAGAAGGCAGTGGTAATGGCTCAAGTAATTAGGTTCCTATCAACCACATGAGCGATCTGGATTGTAACCTTGGCACTTGGCTCCAGACTTGACCACTGGAATCATTGAGAATGAATGATGGAGTTATCTCTCTTTCAGTCTCTCAAATAGGTTATTTTGGTGCAAAAAATTTAAATCTATACACAATTTTTTTATAATAGACATTTTTCCCCATGACCTTTTTGAAGATCCCCCTTGATTTGTTTGGTTCCTTAAAGCAATCAGCAGTGCTGGGATAAAATGTTGGTGCTAACATTTGTTAAATGTTAACAACTGGCAACACATCTGAGGTTTGATTGTAGGCTGAGCACTTGCACTTACCTTTGCAAGCTCCACACCAAGACTTATGGATAATCACCATCAGGGGCAATCCACTTTAAAACAACAGAACAAAGACATTATAATCTAGAACTTCTACTTTTTGAAATCTACTCTAATAAAAGAACCAGTTTATGGTACAAAGATGAATGTACAAAGGTGTTCATGCAGTATGACTTTAACAGGGGAAAGATTATTAAAATAATCTAAATATTCAATAACAGATTACCATAACAAAATTATTGGTAAATTCTGACATTTCTGTAAATCTTGAAAATTTTGCCTTTAAAACTAGGAATAGATTGTGGAATAGAACATCAAATTGTAGTATTTCTAAATGTACTTCTTAACATTTTATATCATTACAGGATGATCTAAAACATTAAGGGAAAATCTTTCATTGCTATAATATTAAATAAAATGCTTAAATATAAAATTATATCTATAGTTTAGTTCTAATTATACAGAGAATAGAGCTTAAGAGAAAATGTACCAAAACATAACAGCAACTATCTGTAAATAACGAGACTGTAAGCTTTTTCCTATACTTTTGCATTCCCCAGTTTTCTCCAGATTTTCATAATCAGGAGAAAAAAGTGTGTATTTGTTTTCTCTTTAAAATAATGAGCAGCACAACCCACCTGAACCAGATTGGCTAGATGAGGTCTTAAGCTCTCAAGGCAAAGCCAATGAGGAAGACAATAGTCATTGGCTTATCACACAACCTTCCATATCACCATACACTATACAATAGCTCCTACTGCATTAACCTTACTGAACTCATAGTTCAACCATCTTCTTTCACTGGACTTTGGAGCTTCCTAAGACAATGAGCTCATAGCTATCCACTGTCTGCCATGTAAAATATTATTGATAGCAAACACTTATACAGCATTTACTACAGGCTGGCACTTTTCTAAACACACATGACTCATTTTATAAGTATCAAATGAATTATTTGGCTACTGCATCTTAGGCCTACTACAGATATGGGGCAGATTGGTGCATCTACACTGTAAGCAGCTTGTAACTGAAATAAGTTACAATATGGGAAAGTTAGGTAGGTAGTGGAATTTAGCTAACCATAATAGAATGTAAACATTTATGTGATACTGTCTATATGTTTTACAGATTATCTCATTTAAACTCTGAGTCCTATAGTATATATGTTTAATGGTCTCATAATACAAATGAGGAAAGTGAGACTCATAAGAGAATAAATATTTGACTACAGGGACCAGCGCTATAGCACAGTGGGTAAAGCTGCCGTCTGTAGTGTTGGCATCCCATTTGGGCGCTGGTTTGAGTCCCGGCTACTCCACTTCCCATCCAGCTTGCTGCTATAGCTTGGGAAATCAGTAGATATCCTTGGGCCCCAACAATGGTATGGGAGACCAGGAAGAAGCTCCTGATCGACCCAGCTCTGGTCGTTGTGGCCACTTGGGGAGTGAACCGGAGGGTGGAAGAACTCTCTCTGGTTCTCTAATAAATAATAATATCCTGGGCACAATATTTATCAATAAAGTGATTTCTATTTTAGAAAATATATATTTGGCTACATAACACCTAGTCTCTGCCACTTACTGGCTAACTCAGAAGTCTAATTCCAAAACCAATGTTCTTTCTGATCATTAGTTTAATTTAGAACAGCAATCCAGAATCCAGAGGATTAGACTCAACTCAACCAATCATCAACTTAGAATAGAAATTTTTAAAGACTGGAAAATGTTTTGAGGTGTCCTAGCCCAAATCTCTACTTCACTTGCCTATCAGAAACAAAAGGTGGTCCAGATCATCAAGGCAGCCTACCTACCCCACTTTTTAACAGCAACATGCCCTTGCAAAGCATGCACATTTTAGAATGTTTTACTCCTTCTTTCTCGCTTGACAAACTCATATTCAGCCTTCTAGAACAGGGGTCAGATTTTCAAGCCAAATCCAGCCCAGTGCCTCTTGTAGGGCCCATGTGCAGTTTTTTTTTTTTTTTTGACATTTTTCAATGGTTGAAAAGTAAATCTCTAAATGAATTATTCCCCTTTCAGTGTCCATAGTTCTATTAACACAGATTCCTGTTCACTTATTTGTTGTTTATAAACTAGCAGCAAAGACCCTATGGCCCGAACTGTTTACTGTTTTAAATATTTACTATTTGACTCTGCTGATCATTGTCATAAAAAGTAATGGTTCACATGTTAATTACTTTGTCAAGTCTTCCCAAAACATTTTCTAGGCAGTTAAGTAATCATTCCCCATTCTGGGGTTCCCAAAACATTGTCAGACCTTTGAACTCCAGTCCCTTTCACTTTATGATCATCTATTGGTCAGTCCTTCTCACCGATTTCTCAAGGACAAACACAGTATCTGTCTGAAAATCACAAACACTGGTAAACTAGGTACCTACCATTTATTCAATTAAGTTAAATGAATGAAGGACAAGCTTACAATACTTGCCTTGAAATACAGAATGCAGCACAACAGTTGTAGAAGTTTTCAAAATATGTTAGAGCAAGCCACCCAATGAGCACTACCAAAATAAGATTTCAGTAAAGGCAAATAAGGCTACAATGTATCTAAATCTCACATTGGGTAAGTTACATGGAGAACACTGTTGCATGTAGTGAAAGAGATTCAGGCAAACTCTACTTTCAAAAGATTTTATTAGAATAATTTAGTTTCACTTTCACAAAATCAATGTTTCCTAAAAACAGAAACCAAGTGGATTTAACTGTGAACCCACTGCAAGGATAGAAACTAGCAAAAAGTAAGCACAGGACTTAAAAACTGTCATATGAAGGAAGCAACAGTGCTGAGGCAGAACTGTGCCATCTTCGGTTTCTGTGCACAATACTTTGGAAACACTTCTGCTCCAGGCTGCCCTCCACAGCTCAGGTGCAGGAAATCAGTGGTGTTGCGCTATCCCAAGCACAATCCAGTCTAAGCGGACACTGTCCACCTGAGCTCGTTCTCGCGTCTCTCCAGGTTCAACCTGCCTGTAAACTCAAGGGCTGGCACAGAATCAGGGACAATACAAGTAAAGTTGAGATGAAGTCACGACTTTCCCCTCTGCTCAGAGCAGGCTCTGGCTCAGATACTGAAGAAACATGTTGGCCAGCTGAGGCAGGTTCTCATTGTTTGGATGCATTTTAGTGTAGGAAATAAACTGGCGACGGAGGCGACTCAGTTCTGCCATGGTCAGGGGCCGAGTAAACCGCAGATGCTCCGTGGTGCCAGGAAGCATGAGCAAGTCCCCGGGAACGGCGCCCTTCTGCGCTTCCATCAGTCCGGCCAACACCTGGCTGGTGACCTGGTCTAACTGGTGCAGAAAGCTGCCGGAGGCGAGTGGCTGGGACTGCGTGGATTGATGGGGTGGAGGGGCTCGGTTTTCAAACAGGGCAGCTTGAATCTCCGCCAAGGGCAACGGCTCCTCCAAGCCCACCAAGGTGAACAAGGGCCGGTCCCAGCGGTTCCGAGAATCGGGAGCTTCAAACCGCAGCGTTAGGGCCTCCAGAAGTTCAGGGGGGTAAAAGGCACTGGGCGTATGCTTGGCAGATTTCTCGGGTTCCGGACTCACGAGGGCTGGACTATCTGGTGTCCCGGTTTCCTCGGGCTCCAGTTCCGTCGCCACGTCCGCCTGGGCTTTCCCATTTACTGCGGAGCTCGCCGCAGTCGGTTCCCCGAAGACATTGGTTCCCGGCGCCTGAGGTCTCCCGCCCTCCTCAGCGCGCGGCCTCCAACTCACACTGACGTTCGGGCTCCGGCTCTCCTCTGCACCCGCCACCTGAGGTCCCCCGCTGGAACGCCCGGGCTGTACGCAGTAGACGAGGCAGAGAGGGGTGCGCGCCGCCCGAGCCAGGCAGTAGAGCTCGTAGCGGAAGCCCTTGACGTAGTTCAGCGAGTCCAGGATAACTACGTCATGGCGATTCAGGCGCCGCTCCACCGAGGCCCGCAGGGCCCCGCGCAACGCTTTCTCACGGGCAGAGTCGCCGTACACTGTCGCGTCCTCCGCACCCAGCACCGATGCGTCATCCACCACATACACCGCGCGGCCCTCGGCCGTCAGCGCCGCGCGCAGTTGTTCAGCACGCCGGCTCTTGCCGCTGCAAGGTAACCCGCAAAAAACTACAAGCGGCATTCTCTGGATCAGCGGCCATGTGCAACTCCCCGGCGACAACTTCCGGGTTGCCGGCGTCTCCGACGTAAACCGGAAGTGCAGATCTCACTTCCTGCCTCCCTTGACCCCTGCGAGACCTCTGTTTCCACGGAAACGGGAGCGCTATGCCAACAAAGCCCAGGTCCAGACGGCTCAGAAAGGAATGGCATCAGTTATTTATGCCAAAAGTTAGCGGTCTCAGGAGGATGTGATCTCTCTGCAGCCCAACAGTACGCCCATCTATGTATTTAATAAGGCCTTAATGAGCATTAAATATTGCAGAACATTTAGCACTATATTTAGCATACAGGAGGGAACTCGTAAATGCTCGTTCTCTTTTACTCCTACTCTTACACCTGGTGATCTCAGTAGATGTTTATTCAATAGCCATCTCAATCATTCAGTATCTCCACAGTTGGAGATTCATCAGAGATGAACATAAAACAGTTTCCCAACAGATCAAGGGTTCTGTGGGAACCATCAGACACAGACAGTCGGTAATAAATGCTACAATGGAAATATGTAAATTACGTTATGAAATTATAAGAGAAAAACCAACTATCCAGAGATATCACTTAAGACTTACCTAGGGGGGCCAGCGCTGTGCTGCAGCAGGTAAGGCCACTGCCGGCAGTGCCGCATCCCATATAGGGGCCTATTCAAGAATGGGCTGCGGCGCCGGCACACCGACCGGGGGCGCCGGATTCTGTCCTAGTTGCCCCACTTCCAGGCCAGCTCTCTGCTGTGGCCAGGGAGTACAGTGGAGGATGGCCCAAGTGCCTGGGCCCTGCACCCCATGGGAGACCAGGAGAAGCACCTGGCTCCTGCCTTCCCATCAGCGCGGTGCGCCGGCCGTAGCGCGCTGTCCGCGGCAGCCATTGGAGGGTGAACCAACGGCAAAGGAAGACCTTTCTCTCTGTCTCTCTCTCACTGTCCACTCTGCCTGTCAAAAAAAAAAAAAAAAAGAATGGGCTGCTCCACTTCCCATCCAGCTCTCTGCTGTGGCCTGGGAAAGCGGTGGAGGATGGCCGAAGTCCTGGGGCCCCTGCACCCGTGTGGGAGACCTGGAAGAAGCTCCTGGCTCTTGGCTTTAGATCAATGCAGCTCAAGCCATTGAGATCAACTGGGGAGTGAGCCAGCCGATGGAAGACCTCTCTCCCTCTCTCTCTCTCTCTCTCTCTCTCTTTGCCTCTGCATCTCTGTAGCTCTGCCTTTCAGATAAATAAATAAATTTTTTAAAAAAAGACTTATCTAGAAATAGTCATTTGATTCAGCGCTTGAGACTAAAAGGAATATTTCTCCTAGACAACATAAAGTGTATTTCAGATAAACAACAAAAAAAGATTTTTTGTTTGTTTCTTTTTTACTATCAGTATTTCCCAAATATTGCATGGACATATTTTAGAGTATTTGTTGTTTATCTAAAATTCAAATTTAAAAAGTGGGTGTTTGATCTAGTCATTAGCTTGCTGGTTGGAACACCACATCCCATACTGAAGTGCCTGGGGTGGAGTTCCAACTCTGTCCTTGATTCCAGCGTCTGGCTGAAGCACAACCTGGGAGGCAGCAGGTGATGGCTCAAGTAGTTGGCTCCCTGCCACCCACATGGGAGAACTGAGTCAAGTTCCTGCCTTCTGGCCTCACCCTGGCCCAGTCCTAGCATTGCAGGCATCTGAGGAGTGAAATGGATAGGAGCTCTCTCTGTCTCTTTCTGTCTATCTCAGATGAAAAAAGAAATTGAACGAGGCATCCTTTATTCTTATTTGCTAAATTTAAGAACTCTACTCCTGCAGAAACATAGAGGCCTAGAGTTACAAAACTACAGGATCTGCTCTAGGAACAAGTACTGTAGTTTGACAGAGGCAGAAGTGTGAATGTATGTGTGCAGTATGTATGTGTATCATGTAGGTGCACATACACTAGTACTGGAGTGGAGTAGATTTTTTTTTTCTCTCCCATACAGTGTAACAGAGAACATTGAATTGGCTGTGCCACTTACTAGCAGTTTAACTACTGGCAAGTTATTTAGTTTTTCTGTACTTCAACTTCCTCTTCCACAGAATCATAAACAAAGGGGCTGGTGTTGTATTGCAGCAGGTTAAGCTGCTGCTGCTTGCAACGCCAACCATATTGGAGGGTTGGTTCAAGTTTTAGCTGCTCTGCTTCTGATCCAGCTCCCTGCTAATGTGCCTAGGAAGGCAGTAGAAGATGGCCCAAGTACTTGGAACCTTGCTACCCACATGGGAAACCAGGATGGAGTTTCTGGCTCCTGGCTTCAGTCTGGCTCAGACCAGATGTTATGACCATTTTGGGGAGTGAACCAGCAGATGGGAGGTTTCTCTCTCTTCTCTGTCTCTATCCCTGTCACTCTTCCTTTCAAATAAATAAATAAATACTAAATCTTTTTTAAATATAAAAACATGTATTTATTTGAAAGGCTGTATGACAGAGAGGGGGAGGGAGAGAGAGAGAGAGAGAATGAGGTACCTTCCATCACCCTGGTTCACTTCCCAAATGGGTGCAATGGCCAGGGCTGGGTCCCCAGGCTGAAGCCAGGGGCTTCACCCGGGTCTCCCATGTGGGTGGCAAACACCCAAGTCCTTAGGCCATCTTCTGCTGCTTTCCCAGGTGCAACAGTAGGGAGCTAGTTTGGAAGTGGAGCAGCTGGTCCTCAGCCGGTGCCCATATGGGAGGCTGGAGTTGCAGGCAGCAGCCTAATCTGCTTTGTTACAATGCTGGCCCCCAAAAATGTCTTCTTTGAAAAACAGTTATTTCATAGGTGTAATACCATCATAGGTTCTTGGGAGGATTAAACAAATCAATGCATGCAAAATATTTAGACCAGCACCTAGCCTTTCCTCCCCTACTCTGTTTTCCTCCCCCTTATGTACAAAGATATTTGTACATAAACCAAACGTCCTCAGGATTTGAGACTATTCGGCTTGAGTCAATAAAGCAGTAAAATGGTTCACAATGCATGTTCTGAAGCCTGAGTGCCTGTGACGGAATCTTAGCCCTACCAAGGTGTATGATCTTGGGCAAGTCACTTAACTGCTCTGTGACTTAGTTTTCTCATCTCTAAAGTGAAGGTAACAACAGTACTCACCTCAAAGAGTTGTTGTGAGAATTAAATGACTTAATTCACATAAAGAGTAAGTAAGCACTTGGTAAATGTTAGCTAGCACTCTGTTGTTATTAGGCAACTATTCAGTTCTTGTTCTGCCTGGGTGTAGCCCTTTTATCTGAAATTAATGCTAAGTTGACATCTAGAACATGCTTTTATCACCATAACTGACTTAAAGCCATGTTTAGTACCTGGCAGCTGCTTCTCTCTTCCCGTCTTCTAGTGTCCTCCAGTGAATATGATCTCCAAAACCTGGAAGGAAAGAGTCTAATAAACACCCACAGAATGAACAAACAACACAGACCCAAGGAAGAAGTGAGTGTGGCATGTTCACAGATACCCACAGAAGAGGTCATTCTCTGTGTAGAGTCTGGTGTTCAATCCCCAGCTCCAGTACTTGCTGGGTGCATGGGACTATGGACAGTCCCATACGTCAAGCCTCACACCTAAAAAGTGAGATGACGCCATCTAATTTACAATTTGTAAGGATATTAAACAATGACATGAAATGCTTTGTAACTATCACAGAGTATGCCAACAATACTAAAAGAACGAAAGAGAATTTTCCAAAGAGTAAACATTAATCAGACTGTAGCATATCAAAAGTAGTTGAAGGTGATACAGATGCAATACAGAAGGTGATGCAATACAGAAAGACACGGGTCCACGACTCCACTTTCTATAGAGCGTGAAGCTTTGTGAGCAAACTAAGCTCTCCAAGTCTCCAATTCTTCATCTGTAAAATCAAGACAATAAAACCGGCCTCTGAGTCTCAGTGTAAAGATTAAATGACGTAATGCATTTTAAGCAATTGCTATTATTCCCACAGTTCAGCCAGAGTGATATTATTGTTATTTTTTAAGACTTATTTTACTTGAAAGTCGGAGTTATAGAGAGGTAAAGGCAGAGGCAGAAGCAGAGAGAGAGAGAGAGAGAGAGAGATGTCTTCCATCCGCTGGTTTACTCCCCAAATGGCCGCAATGGCTGGGGCTGGGCCAATCCAAAGCCAGCAGCCAGGAGCTTCCTCTGGGTCTCCCACACAGGTGCAGGGGTCCAAGGGCTTGGGCCATCCTCTACTGCTTTCCCAGGCCATAGCAAAGAGCTGGATTGGAAATGCAGCTGCCGGGACTTGAATCGGTGTTCATATGGGATGCCGGCACTGCAGGCGGTGGCTTTACCCGCTACGCCACAGCACTGGCCCCAAAGTAAATCTTTTTTTTAAGATTTTTAAATTTTATTTGAAAGTCGGAGTTACATAGAGAGAGAAGGAGAGGCACAATCATAACAAATCATTAGTAGTAATTTATTCTTTACAGTTGAGACTTCTGAGGCTCAGAGAAGTTACATAACCGGTACCAGGTAATATAGCTGCTCAATGGCACACTGAGCCTGAAGCTCCGATCTTGTGCTATTCTGCTTCTAAAACTTTCCTTCCCAGACATACGTTCAAATCCAGTTTCATTAGTGCCCCCACAGGGGAATGAAAGCTCACCCACATTGGCATATAGAGGCAGGATTCAAAAAAACCATCATTACTTATTCCCAACAACATGGACTGCTGGCAAACAGAATGTGTCACTCATGCAGTGAATGACTGAGAGTGAACTCAGGAGGATGCCCAAGAGGACTTACAGGTGTCTAACATGACTGCCATCACTCTACTCGCTAATACCTGAACAGGCAACTGAATCCTGCTTTGGTGGGAAGCCTGACTAAACAGTCTGAATGGCTATCCACCACCAAAATAATGAAATCCTAGATAAAACGGACTTTTGAAACATACTCACTGGGCTCACAGTAATAACAGAAATATTTCCACAAACACAAAATAGGCTAAAACCAGATGAGGAAAAATGAGCAACAAGCAAAAGTAAGGAGGCCCTGAAAGCAAACGTTCAGAACAACGTGGGGAAATGCAGATGAACCTGAAACTCCCATGATCACCCTAACCCTGAACAGAGACTGGAGTGATTACAGGTCAGCAGCGCCCCCAGTCTCCACTGAAGCACACACCAAACCTCTCCTGAGCAAAGTGGTCCACACTTCAGCCTCCAGGAGAGCCAGAAGATCCATAATCATAGAACACCAAAAATGCAAGAAAACCAGTCACCACATAAGAACAGAAGTACCAAATAGATTTAGATCCTGCTGAGAACATCAGATATTCAAATTATTCGCCACAGGATAAAAAAAAATGATGGAATATCACAAAAATAGGCATGTGACCCACAAAACAGACAAATCTGGGAAGGCACCAAGTAGAACTTCTAAAAATTGAAAATGTAGGCCGGCGCTGCGGCTCACTAGGCTAATCCTCCACCTGGCGGCGCTGGCACACCGGTTCTAGTCCTGGTCGGGGCGCCGGATTCTTTCCCGGTTGCCCCTCTTCCAGGCCAGCTCTCTGCTGTGGCCAGGGAGTGCAGTGGAGGATGGCCCAAGTGCTTGGGCCCTGCACCCCTTGGGAGACCAGGAGAAGCACCTGGCTCCTGCCTTCGGATCAGCGTGGTGTGCCGGCCGCAGCGCACCAGCCATGGCGGCCACTGGAGGGTGAACCAATGGCAAAAGGAAGACCTTTCTCTCTGTCTCTCTCTCTCTCTCACTATCCACTCTGCCTCTCAAAAAAATAAATAAATAAATAAAATAAAATAAAATAAAAATGTAACTGTTGAGATAGAAAGTGCATGGAGGGGCCGGTGCCGTGGCTCACTAGGCTAATCCTCTGCCTTGTGGCGCTGGCACACTGAGTTCTAGTCCCGGTCAGGGCGCCGGATTCTGTCCCGGTTGCCCCTCTTCCGGGCCAGCTCTCTGCTCTGGCCAGGGAGTGCAGTGGAGGATGGCCCAAGTGCTTGGGCCCTGCACTCCATGGGAGACCAGGGTGCCGGATCAGCGCGGTGCGCTGGCTGCAGCGCACCAGCCGTGGCGGCCATTGGAGGGTGAACCAACGGCAAAAGGAAGACCTTTCTCTTTGTCTTGTCTCTCTCTCTCACTATCCACTCTGCCTGTGTAAAAAAAAAAAAAAAAAAAAAAGGTAGGCTCATGTTATAGCCTGAACTGTGCCCCTCATTCCCTCACATTATTTATTTATTTATTTAGACAGGCAGAGTTAGACAGCGAGAGAGAGAGAAACAGAGAGAAAGGTCTTCCTTCCGTTGGTTCACCCCCCAAATGGCTGCTACGGCCGGCGTACTGTGCCGATCCGAAGCCGGGAGCCAGGTGCTTCCTTCTGGTCTCCCATGCGGGTGTAGGTCCTTAGCACTTCGGCCATCCCCCACTACCCTCCCGGGCCACAGCAGAGAGCTGGACTGGAAGAGAAGCAATCGCGACAGAACCAGTGCCCCAACTGGGACTAGAACCCAGGGTGCCGGTGCCGCAGGTGGAGGATTAGCCTAGTGAGTGACGGCGCCGGCCAATTCCCTCACATTTGTACGTTGAAGTCTTAACACTCTGTATGTCAGAAGGTGACTGTATTTGGTTCACTCCCCAAATGGTCACAATGGCCAGAAATAGGCCAATCCAAAGCCAGGAGCCAGGAGCTTCTTCCAGATCTCCCACATGGGTGTAGGGGCCCAGGCACTTGGGCCATCTTCTACTGCTTTCCCAGGCCACAGCAGAGAGCTGGATTGGAAGAGAAGCAGCCCACATGGCATTGCAGGTGGAGGATTAACCTACTACACCACAACACTGGCCTAAAGGTAGGGGTCTTTAAAGAAGTAAATAAGGGCCTGGTACTGTGGCATAGTGGGTAAAGGCACCACCTACAGTGCCAGCATCCCACATGGGCGCTGGTTCATGTACCAGCTGCTCCCACTTCTGATCCAGCTCTCTGCCATGGCCTGGATAAGCAGTGGAAGATGACCCAAGTCCTTGGGTCCCTGCACCCACATGGGAGACCCGGAAGAAGTTCCAGGTTCCTGGCTTCGGATCAGCTCGGCTCCTGCCTTTGAGGCTACTTGGAGAGTTAACCAGCGGGTGGAAGATACCTCTCTCTCTCTCTCTCTCTCTCTCTGCCTCTCTGTAACTTTGCCTTTCAAATAAATAAATATCTTAAAAGAAAAAAAAAAGAGGCAAATAAGCTAAAATTCATACCGCAGGTGTCCTAGACCCTAAAAGATTAGGTCACAGCTGTCCAAAGAGGGAAGACCACAGGAAGACACAGAGAAAAGCTGGCCATTTAAAAAAGAAAGCAACACTTGCTGACATCTTGATCTTGACTTCTGGCCTCCAGAACTATGAGAAAACAAATTTCCATTCCTTAAGGTACTCAGTCTGTGCTCTTTGTTATGGTGGCCTCAGCAAACAAATACATTTGTAATTACACATTTGTCAAAAACTACAATGTAGGACACTGAGAGTGAACCCTAATGTAAGCTGGGGCTTTAGTTAGTAATAATGTATCAACACTGGCTCATCATTGTCAACACATGGTCCACATTATTGTGAGATTAACAGGAAAACTACCAGGATGGAGAGGGGGAAGGGTATATCCAGGAATTCTGCTTTCCTGATGAGAAAACCAAGGCACAAAGTCTAAGTGACTGTCCCAAGGTCACCCAGATGGTTACTGTCAGAGCTGAAATCCAACCCTAGCAGTCAGAGTCCAGACTCCTAGATTTTAAGCCCTGCAGAATGCCGTCTGTGTTTCTGAGCAGAAGGAGACCAGGCTACAGTGAAAAGAGGGAGTGGACAGTGCACAGCCTTGTGGTCACTACAAAGATTACCCGCTCTCCCTGAGCTATTGGGGGGTTTTGAGTAGTTGTAACATGATGTGATTTGCATTTCAACAGGATTGCTCTGTGCTGGAAAACATAATGTAGGAGGTGTCAGGGGCTGACCTATGTCCCCTTAAAAAAGATACGTTGACAGGGCTGACACTGTGGAGTAGTGGGTAAAGCCGCTGTCTGCAGTGCCGGTATCCCATATGGGCACTGGTTTGAGTCCTGGCTGCTCCACTTCCCATCCAGCTCTCTGCTATGATCTGGAAGAGCAGTGGAGGATGGCCCAAGTCCTTGGGCCCCTGCACCCGTGTGGGAGACCCAAAAGAAGCTCCTGGCTCCTGATTGGCGCAGCTCTGGCTGTTGCAGCCTATTGGAGAGTGAACCATCAACTGGGGAACGAACCATCAGATGGAAGACCTGTGTGTGTGTGTGTGTGTGTGTGTGTGTGTGTGTGTAACCCTCTCCTTCTCTGTGTAACTCTTTCAAATAAATAAATAAATCTCAAAAAAAAAAAAAAAAAGATATGTTGGCATCTCA